AATAAATATAATATCCAATACTAGTCAAGATTTAACGGCGAAATACTAAACTACTGTTTGTATTATTCACGTACGTTTGTGTTATTGGCTTATCAGAATTTAGAGTGAATGGACATGTTCTTCCCAGTGATCTAGACTTGTAAAACTAAAGTAATTGTACTTATTGGAACAGTATTACGGTGCAAAATATCTCCGATAATATTCTGATATTTTGCTCGAAAAACTAGAAAAAAATTTCTTTTAAACTACAATATTTATAATGTCATATTTTTGTCGATACAACGAAATCCATACCGATCAAACTACTAAATAATCTATATGATCACAACTGTAGACTTTTCTAAGACATTCTTTTTTTAGAATTCTTCTCTCAAATATTTCTGCTAGATTTCTCGATTTTTGAACCGCAAGTCTTTTTTGACCAGCCATAATTGCATAATCAGTTAAAAAGTTTAGGATACCATAGAGTTTTTTGTTTGAGCCAATACAGCTCAAAATATAAAAATAAAAGCGACAGAACAATCGCTCCCCCCACTCCTTATTAATGGTTTGTCGATTGAAACACCTCCTTCAAAATCGATTATACTCCTACGGGAGCATTGGGACTCACTGGACCAAGACTCTCCAACTATACCTAAGCAATTCAAAAATAATTGAGCTTGCTACACGTCATGGTCTTGCATGGTGGTTGTCATCACCACTTGCTTATGCTGTTCGGCGTTCGTTACCGCGCTGTAAGAATTACCAGTCCCGCACACTTAACCGGATTCAACGGGTAAAAATAGACGGCAACTTTCGTACATCGTAATGGAAATTTCCACGGAAACGCGTGTACGGCTAGAGCAATTTACATGAACACGCCGCTGCTTTCCTCGGACTATAGTTATAGCTGGCTAACGACCCTACGTAGGATTTGCGCGTCCGCTGCAACGTGGTATCAACAGCGAGCAAATTTAAAATATATACACGTTACACTCGACGAACCCAATGGCCGGGCTGTAGCAAGTTCACCGTAAAAAGGCTGATGAGATTCGAAGGAATTGCTGCCGAGAAAGGATAAAAACGAAACGTGAAATAAATGAGAACAAGGAAAGAATAAACGTAGCGCAGTTAAAGTTCGCAATGTGCGCTGCAGACGTTTTCACGGACAAAGTACTGCCGACCCAGCGACAACGTAGTTCGTTCTAGGTGTATCCGATCCACTCGCCCAACACACCTACACGCACAATGCCTCCGCGACCGTTTGGAATAATGAGCGCGTGCACCTACTGCAGGGCGAAGTATACTTTATGTTCGGAAAGTTAAAATGATCAAACAATACGCGTCTGTCCACGGTGTATGCGATAACTGTTGAAAAAAAAAATCGCCCTGCAAATCACTCGCAAGAGGTCTGTATAATAATAATTAAAATGAAAATAATAATACAATTACAGTAGTAACATTATTTTAATACGACGCGCATAATTTCGAGTACAAATTACCGCTCGTTTGTCAGCTGCGACGGTTGTAGCACGTACACGAAGAACTACAGTACAGATCGTCACCGGTTATAACGACAAACCACGGTATTGATGATCTTAAATTTAAGGTCACGGAAAAACACCTACATTATTTTTGTACGTATTCGTTTCAAATTTGAATCGGTTACTTTGATGTCTGTGTAATGCGAATACACACGGATATTGATGAGTGTGTAATGATTACATGATATTTTGTCGAATTCAGGTTCAGGAGCTGGCAAGAAAATAATAAAAGTATCTTTCAAAGTTCAATATTACTACTAATATTGGACTACCTAATATGTAATATTATTATAATGCGAACAGTTTTTATTTTACTTTTTACCGTATTCAAGTCACGGTTTAGTGATAAATATATAATACATAATATTAATATTACTGTCGGGTATTTAATTTTTTGTATTACCAATTTTCACCGGTCCCTAATGAGTGTCAATATTATAAACGTTTTTACACTGAACACCACCCGAAACTCATAAACAACAATACTCGTAATATTTATCGGATCGGGACGAGCTCGTTTTCGGGTTTCTGAAAACATGTTCAGGGCTAAAGCTATATTCTATTTAAACGAGCCGTAGCTATATATACAACATATATATATTAAAAATATGTTAAAAATGCTATTTAGTTTCTCAAACATTAGGTTTAATCACTTGCAAGTTTAACTTTTCGTCGCTGTATAAAAGTGAAATGTAAATTTTTTGTACCACATTGTACCAAAAACACATGTCACCCCGTGTTTGACCTCTTGCTTGAGATCATCGAGTCTCGCGGAACGAACCGACACGCGTGCTATATCGCACCCCGTCGTCGCGCTAGTCCAAAACTGCGCATAACCATTTGCACGATCAATTATCACAATGGACCGAGCGGATTGGTGACCGGTTGGATGAAGCTTTTACAGTTGTTGTCTTGTACACCAAGTGATTCCGCACCCATCTGCCGAGCCGGCTGTTGTAGTGGCAGCAAAATAGAAACTCGCGCTCCTAGTAATACGTATACGTAATGAATCGCTGGAAGTGTGCATGTATAATACAAAATAATAAAAATAATATAAATGTACACAAATATAAATGAATAATATTAAATAAAATGAAATAATAATCAATATAAACATTAATATAATGATGTATCACATTTCTAAATCGATAAGACGTCATCTGCCCACGTACAATCGTTGCATATATGTACACGTCATAACGCGGTACAACAATCGTTTGAAAACGTAAACGCTGATCTGATTAAATTCTCTTTGATCCTATCCCGATCCATGTTAAGATCTGCCATATTATATTTCTAATAATGGTACGCTCATGTTCCGGTAAACACGCGCGCATACGAATATATACCGTATACTTTAACCGAATTTCGCAACATCGATACATCGATATTTCATCTTGTTCCGCCACACAGTTTTATACAAAGTGCCGCCGAAATGCCTGCGGCCAATCTAGGGTTGTACGCGCATACTACACGCAACACGTGGCGCGTTTCCTTTCGTCAATCCTTTGACGGAGTGCGCGCGCACTTGTCCGTCATCGTATGTGTTCGTAGCTGATAAGACTGGCGAGCTAAATTCTTTGCCTAAATCCGTAGACCTGGGACCGGGGCGAGCGGTGAATTCGGTTCGCTGAACGTGGAAGAAATACGTGTTTAATATTCAGCCGGCACTACCTCGTGTGTGTTTAACCCAAAATAGAAGCAGTAGTAGGTATTCGAGAGGTATTCAGTATAAACGCTGGCGGTTTCTTTAAATAAACATCTCTCTCTCTCTCTCTTTACCTCCCTTCATCTCATCTTCGTAATTTCAACCTGTTCGCTTCCTCTCACCGTTTCGTTTTCTTCTTCTCGTGCACGCACACTCTCTCCTTCTCATTCATTATTTCTTTCTGCGTCTTGAAAACTGCTGATTTTTTGGTACGGTCCAGTAATCAACGATAGGCTTTCCCGACAGGACAGTTTTTTCGAAGCGCCCAGTGCTAAGTGCTACCTGTGGATTATGATCTCTTTGAGTTGGTGAACACATGAATGCATAGGTATATAGGGTTTTACATGTACATTGACCGGTTATTCACGGTGTGAAAAATAATTACTAAATTACGCTTGGCTACGTTTTTACTGGCGCCAGAGAAATGCAGCTGATTTACAAATCCATTAACGAACATTAGGTGTTAAAACAGTGATGTCCAACCTTTTTTTCATCGATGAACCATGTTCGTAAAAACCTATCTTAGAACGGGTCATATAGAAGTACGAATAATATTAATAATATATATTTATATTATTAATATTAATCTAATAATGTTATGTTGTTACACATAGTAGGTATACAATATACATTTAGGTACATATTGAATTTGTTTTCAATTATTTTATTGACTACTAAAAAGATTATAGATTAAGATACACATTAAATTGATCAGTTCGTTATTTTAAGTGCACGGGTCAAATGTAAAATTTCCATTGAAAATGTAAAAAATAAAACTAATACTTTTGAAAAAAAATCGTATTTTAAAATAATCTTACTTTTATTTATAATTTTGTTTTATTTTAAAAAAAATTATAACGGGCCACAGGTGTTAAAACGAAATAAGCATGCTCCGTCAATACTTCCGACGACAGCATTTATTGATTGCCTAGATTTAAATGTTCGATCTGCGGTTGACGTAACAACGAACATCAAACAATCGATGTTGAATCGATCATCAACCAATTGAACTAATCATGAAATTATATTGTTATGTTATACAATTATGTTGCGACCTGACCCTTTTTGGATATAATTTATGCGTTCAACATCTTACATAGACACGTAGACGTGTATTTTTTCTTGCTTTTCAATTAAGATTCCAATCTTAATTCTTAACCCAATGTCTAGAACGCTTTACATCTGGTATTTATTTATTTCAAGATTTGTGTAATTTTTTTTTTAAGATTTATCGTATCATTAATTACATAAACGAATACGACATAGTTATGAAGTGGATGATTACGAAATGAAACATTCATATTTTTATCTTTAAGAAATATGTCAAAATAACAATTATAATATATTATAAATATTGACAAACGCGTACTCACTTATGTACCATGAAATATTTGAAACATACGATTATAACAAGATTTCGCATAGTTTTTTAACTATAATTTATATATTATACATTATTATTATAATTTAGTTGAAACTTAAAGTTCCATAAAAAGAACAATAATAGTTAATTATAACTTTAAAATAATTTTAAGGTTATCAATTTTTTTGGAGCCCTACGATTTTCCCTTAAAAATCTAAAATATCCAATATTCTTTATTATTACCGATCTATGAATTAACATCATAATAGAATGTAATCAAAATAATACTAATGATTTTAACTAAAGTTATTTTATTCAACGAGAGATCAATTTAAAACAATCATTAAAAATATGCATGTAGAAACCCATAATAAATAGTACTTATAATGTTTTTTAATTATTTTAGTTGGCAGCTCAGAAGACGTTAAGTCAGGAGATTTCAACAAGTTAAATATGTCAAGGCGGTCAAAACCTGTGGCGAAAGCTATGTCTCCCAACAGACAGGGTCCCCAGCAGTGTCTTGTAAGTACAGAATATTATAAAATATACGACATAAGTAAAATAAAAAATTTCAAAATGAACACATGACGCTTGATTCAATTTGCATTTATAAGCTTATAAAATCCATTGTTTCACTCCAGTCATTTATAAACACAGAGAAAATAAAAGCAATAGAAAATAATAAATCGCTATAATATGCTATAATAGTGTAGTACTTCGGCGTGTGGGGGAGGGTGGTCTCTTTCCAACTACAATTACGCTTGAAACCTTCGAACCCTTTATTATTATTTGCCGACTAAAAGGTACTCCACCGTATACTCCTTATATACCGTCAGCTATGTAAGCAGACACGAGTGTTATTAACGATAATATTCTCTTATGCCCCAATAGCTAAACTCGAAACAGCTTAAACGAGCTCAAAAGTTTGTGTATGAAAATGACGAACAATAAAACGGTTAGTCTTCAGTCCAAGTCACTCCGATATCGAAATACACGGCGGCGAGCCTGTTATTGATAATCCTAAATACACTGCAACGAATTCAATATAATATTAATTACTATGTTTAATTTTAATAAATATATACGTACTTATGTTTCTTTTGTATAAGCATTGTGGGATAGTACGAACAATGTATAGATGCGTAATAATTAAAAACTCCGGAAACGACCGAAATCGCTGATGTTTCGTCTGATAACGTTATAATACCTTCGAGTCGAGCGTATAAAATGTTTTTTAATTAACGTTTTCTCATTACTCGCAATAAATGAATCAAGAACACTATAAATTTAAATAAGCCCAAATTAACTACGCAAGTCGGTCACAATATCCATATAAATTCAAATTAAACTTCAACTCCAAATTACATGACCGCGCAATAGGTATACCACTCATAATTTTCTTCTGCAACTGCAATAACAATATACCTATACACTTCTATTGCTCTAATTTTTCAATTAATTTGCGCGCCGCAGCCCATTGGGGTGGTATTAAAACGTAAGATATTTTTTCAATAAAATAGTATTCTATTATTATCATAAAAAGGGTTAGATCAGCCCATCATCAAACACTGTCCATCAGCCGCGCGCTATCTCTATTCTCATTACGCACCATAAATCTTAATTACGCTGCGAGACTTTTCAGTAACTTCCGCCAACCATTCAACTTCTCGAAATCCTTGACATAATTCTTAAGTTTCCGTGTAACGAATCTCTCGTTGATGACCAGAGACTTTGCTTACTCGATGGTATACTAGGGTACTATGTCAAGCAAATTTTTCTTGGCATTTTATAAATCACAAACACAAACGAATATTTTAACTGGTAAATTCGTCTTCGCTTAATCTAAAAAGGGGTCGACATACCAAGGATATAATTTTAAGAGCACAAAACTTTCCCCTACTCGTAAATTATTGTGAATTATATACATATACACTCTTTCATCAACATTGTTTCTTAAGGCGAGATCAGAACAAAGCGGCACACCAAAATAAGTGTAAACTTTTACGCATCTAATAATAATCGAGTTGTGTATTTATTATCTATGTGTATGCAAAAAGAAAAAACAAGGGCAGCGTGATCCAAAAGTTTTCCTCTAGAAACATTTTCCAATTATTGGATGATTTAGTTATTTTTTCACTTGCTATGCAGTTCGAAGATATTTAACGGTTCACACGAAATATATTTAAAATAAATCAAATTATTTCGTATTTAGAACGAAAATGAGATTTCTATTATTTATATCCAATCGTATTAATATAATATAAAACCTATAACGTAAGTTTATAGTATTCATTTTTTTCAAATGTATATACTATTATTACTACTATTATTGAATAAATATAAAATAGCTCCGTAACTATACCGGTCCTTTTTGTGTGCCCCTATTAACAATGTCGCCATCAACAGTGAATCGTAAATGCTATACTCTTATTAAGCATTATTGCACAATCGATTATTTCACATCAAATTTTTAATTCGTTAATACTTAGAAGAAGAAAAAATGATCGTACCGCCGTAATATTGTTGAAAGGACTTGTTTTAACTCCATTATCTCTCATAGTTATGTTCCACATGTTCCTCGTGGTAGATTTAGACACGTTTATTTAAGAAAAACAATAAAGAGAAACTTAGAACGTGCTCTACGTACATTTCTTCCAACGGAATGATAGTTTTCTAGATAGGATCATGAAATAACGTTTCAGTCGCTGCTATTGTTTAATCCTCTGTCCAAAGTCCATTTCATTTTCACCTTCTACACCGATCTTATTATGTTTATTTTTTATCTCCACTTTGAAATAACGTGTAACTGTAAAATCTCCAGCAACAAAGAAATCTCTGGTTAGCTTAGTTAATTCAAAATCGCCCGATCCTGGCAATTAAATTAAATTAAAATTGTACGGTCTACTGATAATATAAGTATGAGTATCTTATATGTTTCAATCAGTTATTTCCTTCGATTTACCGTAATGTACATATTTTGTACATTTTGTGAATATATATTTATGAAAACACGTAGAGACCCATCGCTTTGTATTGACCTGGCAATGGAAATATTTTAACGATCAGTTTTAAAACTTACTGAACACGTTTTTCAACAAAGGCAAATAATAATAATAATATGTATAATAATACTCATGACTTATTTTTTTTCTACAGACATTTCTGTAGAAATCAATTTTTAAAATTTGTTTGCCAGCAATACTTCTTTGAATATGATATCATTCAAGACCAGAATTTATAAAAATAACACTTAAATAAGCAAGCAGTATGATATTATTAATTATATATTAGAAAAAAAATATCTACTGTTTTTTCGAAAATATTATAATGTTGTCGTTTATGACGAGAAAAATGAAGAAAAGAAAGTATCGATATATAATTTAATACCTCGGAGTGCAAATTTAAATCGATTGGTAAATACATTTCAAATAAAATAACATATTTTCTATACATAACTCTAATTATTCAGTTTGAATATTATACCACTTTTATTTTGAACTAAAATAAATTTACACCGATGTCATGAAAATTGGAATTAAAAATATATATATATATGTATATATAAATAAGAAAATTGAAGATCTTCAAAAAAATCATTACACTCTTACACCAATACTACTTAAAAATAATATTTCTAAAAGTGTACTCATATATATGAAATATTAAATTATAACCTTTAAATATATACAAATTTTATATGAAAAACATTTTTTTTAAATAAATAAAAATATTTTTTCGAAATTCTTAAGACAAAATATCAGAATTATACAATCCAAGAGTTTATGGAATTCCATATTTATGTTGGCAAATTGTATATTGGACAAACAAGAAATACAATTATGAAAACGTTGAAATATGAATAAGAGGACACGAAAAATATGGTTAATAAACGTAGTGTAAATTTAACAAAATATTTGAGTCAATAATACCACAAAGTAAGTTTTCATCTATAGTATAGATGTACATAAATGCTAATTAAAATTCATGTTTTGAATGATTTTAATTATAAAAAAGTATACAAATTAATAAATTAAAAAGTCAAATTTAAATTAAAATTATCAAAATGATAAAGAACGTAATATTATAAAGAAGCAAAGATCAAAAAATGTGAGGGATCAAATATTTTTCACCAAATAAAAAACAAAAAAAAATGAAGAAAACCTGCCAAAGAAAAAATATCAATGTTCCGGGCAGATTCTACGACAAAATAAAAAAAACTTGTTCTATTAGTGTACTATTTTTTTCTTTTTACTGGCAATAAAAATAAATTATACAGATTTCAAAAATTGTTCAATATTTCCCAGTTAGGGAAATCTATTATTGTTTATTTTCTTACAAATGCAATTATATTGTTATTCAAAAATGTCAACACATAAAATCGATAATTATTATTTACATGCGTTCGGGTAATGTAGTTTTTTCCCACTTAAAATTTGTAACATGTGTGCTGCATATTAATGAAAATCGAATTTTATCACAAACACTTCACCGTTGTCTGTCATGAAACAATGATGATTTGTTATAGTCGTTTTACGGTTGTATGATAAAATATTTATTAACAGTATACTTGGTTTTATGAAACATTCTTTCGATTTTAAAAAGCATTTATCCATTCACATACAAATATATAATTAGGTATGGATACCTATATATTTCTGTATGTGTGTGTGTTCAATTTTAACTAAAACAGATTAAATATTTTTTCAAAATCAAATAATACTTGCACAGATCTTCGTATTAGCGGTTTTCTAATTTTACACATCAGAATTAGTAAAGGTAAATCGCATAATAATTTACAAATTCCAATTTCTTATCTTATCCATCTTAGCACATCATCCTCTTTCTCCGACTCGCGTATACAACTTCCCCGAAACATCACAACCCCCGCACACCTGTTGGCTGTCTTACTCCATGAACGATTATACAATCGTTTGCAAGTTGGTCTTGCGTAGACGTCTCTACCCCATGGCTGCTGCAAAAGTTTTGAGCTCAACTCGTATATGCAGTCTTTTATTAGTGCACCAACGCGTTTTTGGAAAGTTTGTAACTTCACTTCTTGTTGATCGAAAACTGGTGTACGAACCTCCCCGTGACTTTAGCAACACACGGCAGTGGTTAAAGTTTCGATAGAATTATTTTACGACGTGTAATGCCGAACAAGATATCCAAAACATTAGAGAAAGTCGAGATGGGTTGAATGAAAGAGTAGTAAGAGGGCGAGAGAGAGCGAGAGTTGGGGCTTATAAAATTATACGATGATTGTGTGCGTATGTATATATATTTACACTATATATAGGTACAATAACAATAATAAAAGCATATGCGCGCCCCCCCACGTATTTATATGTATTATATACATGTATACGATATGCAAGAGAAGTAATATTTACCAGAATTATTCATCTCCAGAGGCTTTTGTTTCAGAGTTTCGCTCGTTTTCACGCCATTAGGGTAATAAAATGTTATATAGGATTGAATAGGTTCGGTGAAAATTGTATGTGTGGGAAGTTTTTTTCCCTCGT